GCGGGGGGGATCAGTCCTTTACCGGGTGCGGACCCACGATACATTGGACAAGAGCGCAGTAAGTTCCTAACCTCCCACAACGAAAGCCCTAGAAGACTATCGCTATATTTTCTCATCCATGGTTTTTATTTTATACTGCCTTTTGAGAACAAATGATATTAGTCCGATCTATGGCGTGGACTCTAATACACTGTAGTTAATTCCAAAGGGAAAAGTAACCTGCCATAAATCTTGACGACAAACAGTTGACCTAAAAGATAGGACGTTTCTTCGGCCGAAACAGCTCGAAAACCTGACTTTGCTTCCGACTCGTTTGCATCCTCCTTTAATCCCACCTGCAGGAATCAGTGGAAGAGGAGGATGAGGAACAGGAAGCTGATCTGTCAAAGCCACAAGAAGAACACCAGCCACCACCTCCAAAAACGGAAGCCGAGCAGGCTCCGGCCAGTGGACCGCCCAATTTCGATCTTCAAGGTGCTCGTGCTCGAGAAATTCACTCCTTTCTACGCGGTTCAACCTGTTTGACTGGCGGTCTCGGTTGGTGGAAACATGAAGTCTGTTACGGAGGTAAAATCACCCAGTACCATGAGGTAATTCCGGTGTCAATTTAAATAGCTCCGTTTTGTAGCATTCGTGGTCTTGGCTAGAAAGGTGTTGACATTTTTTCCAGCATTCCGATCACGCGTTTAGTATCTGCAATCCACCTAACGCAGTGGATGCTATAAGCATTAGCGTTTTTTGTAAGTTAACCAGTCACCCCATGATCCCTTTCCGGTCCGCATCCTGTAACTTGTTGATTTCCTGTCTCGTAAAACTGTATCAGCTCCTCGGGCGCCACCATTAGAGCCACGCACACTTTTGATCATAGAAGTCTGTGTCCCCTCTCGCTATGCTCACTTGATGCATAAGTAGTGTCTGTCGACGGCGTATTTTGGTTCATTCTTTTTTAGTGGATTAAAACAGACCTTTTCCATCTGAATGTGGCAAAGATAGTAAAAGAAGTGTGTTACTGCTTAATCCGGAAAGAAACAGGACTCGTAGTTTATAAAGAGCGAATAGGCAGAGGTAGTATTGGTAGATAAGGTGGGCCGGCAAAGACAAGGGTGACCGGAATGGCCATTTCTGACTTATTAGCCGCCACCAGCCAGTCATACCCAACCTCCAGTGTGGACCAGTGAACGCCCATTTGCCAGAGATAGTTCTTGACTAATAAATAATTTTGGCAAAAGGCTTCTAAACCCTGTATTTCGAAAACAAATGAAAAGACGTCTCTTCCGATTGTCGAGTTCGAGAATTAGTGCGGGTCATCATCCCCCTAAACGCGTCATCAATTAACACAAGAAAACGACCAACCCTGTTTACTGTGTGTCATGAAAACAGTCAGATTCTGAAGCTAAGGTGGAAAGGTGTCCCGTGTAGAATGGAAATCTTCAGAAATGTTGGCCCATAACTGTTCGTTCTCCATGCATTACAATTAGTTTGACATATTTCGGCGTCCCACCGTTGCCACAGCTGTACCCATTAGTGTATAAAAGAGCGTTGGTAGGACTTATGTCATGCGAAGATATCGGTATGGTGAATTTTGTCAGGAGGACTTTCAGCGAGTGAAACTTCGCCCAGACGACCTATTCCCTCTGATTCAAGAAGGAAAGTTTGTGCATGCATGAATGGCAGTGCCAGCGAGATGCAAAATCTGGCTAGCCATTCTCTTTCAAAATGTCACGAAAGCAGTGGTGGTGGTGGTGGTGGTGGTGGTGGT